CCTGGGTGTCTTCCAGTGGTCTTCTAGCCTTAGAAGAAGTCGTGTCCGCCGCCATCTGCAACGTCCTCCTTTGATATTCTAATCTGGGACAACTAAAAGACTGAGCCATTCGGTTACTTTCGCGTCGCCCTCACTAAACCAACTTGAATCTGAACTACGATTCAGATCACGTCTTGCCGAAATCGATTTCCTTTGCGTGCCATATGCGCTTAGACTTCACTTTTTCCCCCTTTTTCTTCCCCGTCCAATATTTGTTCTCGAAGGTCTTCGTTTTCGTGTAAAAGCAAACTCTCAAATTTATGACCAACCTTTCCTTCAGTAATCTTACAACGAACAGGAGTTTTTCCATTGTAAATTCGTACGGAGCAATCAACGAATTCCGGCGAAATAGAAGATCTACGTGACCAAATTTTCCTGTTCAAAAGAAGATCTCTCTTCTTTTTCATTCTCAAGAGGAATGCATCAACAAAACTTCCCTTCCATATAGATCGTCGTGGCATGAACTAATTTTTTCGCTTCGATTCTGTCTGTCTTCGCTCCTCTCCTGTCGAGTGGCTTACGCTCCTACTCCTCCTCCTTCTGCTCATGAATCCTCCTTGGTCCTTCGTTCACTTTTTCTCACATTGGCTTCTTCTGTGTTAAGCATGACATGTAATGTCATGTTTGAAGTCGAAGCAATCTTCTTTTTTTCGAAAAATCTATTCTTTTTTTCATGATAATAGTTTTGACTCTTTATTTTGAAGCAAGGTGGATCTATACGGGAACCTAGTTATAATCGTCTTCTTCTTTCTTTCTTAATAAGAAGTTCTTTTTTTTCTATTTTCTTTGAAATGCATGCTTTCCTATGGATGAGACTTTCTATGGAAAGAGGATATGAAGAAGCGAGACCATCAAAGAGAGTACTCTGCTGCGCCTTTATTAGTCTGATGATGTTCTTCTGTTTATGTTCTTCTTTCTTCTTGATTGTTTGCACGTTTGTATGAGAATCAAGCTCATCTCCTTCGGTAAGCACATATAGGGTATCGAGCCCTCGGCGCTTGAGAGGACCCGGGGAGCTCTTCTGTGATAGGCTCCGAGTTCCTGACTCTACTAGGCAACTAAGACATTAGATGAGGGAGTGCTTGTCTGTTTAGCGCTCTGTGGTTCATAGATTGGATATTGAATTATCCGAAGATGAGTATCCCTCGAGCCTGACTTCCAAGCACTGCTTCTGTAGTCACAAAGAAGTAGGGTTTCAGACTTCGTCATGAGTTTGACCTTCTGTTCTAAGAAAGAATGCCTGAGTTCTGTAGCGCGAAGACAAGAACTAGTCAATTTCTCTAAAATCTGGAATACCCTTCTTCCTCCATCCATACACTGACATCAGTTACTGAAAACCGAGATATGGGCATAAAGAAAATCAAACTCTTTGCTCGTGAATATGCGATGTTAAGGATGCCAGAACTATAGTTGAATCGACCGTTCACTCATAGGTAGCTGCGAACAAGGAAGAAAAAGAAGGACATGGAAGCCAAGCCAATGCGGTCTTAGCTCTTGTTGCTGCCAACGACTCCGATGCCGTTGAATCCGTTGGAGAAGAGCTGCCTATTGAATTTCTTGGAGTAAGGGCTTTCTGAAAAGGCGTAGCTGCAATTGGGCTTCGGCTTGTACTTGAATCGATCTTGCCTTGGTGTTGCTGACTGACGGACCGAAGACAGAATAATAGAATAGGATATTGCACCTCACTTCGAAGAATGGGAGGAAGACTATACCACTTCGACTGCTTAGAATGAGAGAAGGAATGGCATGCTAGACGGCCGGGAACATTAGCTACGAAAGAAGCAAGAGACTTGACAGCCCTCTCGACAGCAACTGAAAACACAAGAAAGAAAAACAAATGACTTGCTTGGTCAGCTCAACCACTAAAGGTGCGAAGGATTTCTTACTTGAAGGCAGGAGGGAAAGAGTCTAAACTAAAGGCAAAGGCGTAGGAAGCACAGGTCAAAGAAGCAGCATCGCCGCAGGAGATCGAACAGATCCGGTTGGTTGATTCAAGTCTAAGTAGCATCAAACAAAGCGATATAAAGGTGAGGTGGTTTCTCCCCATTGACCGAGTGAAGTAACAGCAGGCATGCCATCATAGGCAAAAATCAAAAAGGCTTTCACATCTAGGCAAGGAGAAGACTCACTCTCTCACCAGACTCGTCCCTTGTTTTCTTGTATGGGAACCCCATTCTTTAATGAGAGAAAGAAAAGAGTTTATGAAAAGCCTTTTTCAAGCTCATCTCAGATTCATTAAGGAATCAGACATAGCCTGGTTCTATTCATAACAGGCAACGGGGGTTGGTGTGGCCGCTTCGGCCATCGAACTTAGTTTCAATTGCAAAGCTAAAGGAAGACTAGAAAATAAAATAGGGGAAGATAGCTAGGCCAGCAGCAAAAAAGCAAGAAGTTGGGCCTGATCTTGATCTATGAGGTGAAAGATCAAGGAAGGGCATTGGTCCGTCTGAACCAAGTCTGTCTTATAATAGTAGTAGTTGCCCCCTGATCCTCGAGTGATTCTCGTCGGGATTTCTTTGAAACTACAACTGCCCTTGCCGAAAGAAAGTAATCAAGAGAAGCTTTGAGGGCAGCTAAGGAAGGATAGGGAGGGGCCAAGTCAGGATGGGGGATAGTCAGATGACTTGAGGCTACTATTCAATTCAGCCGAGAGAAATTCGAACTCAGCTAAAGCGACAAAGGAAATCAAGTACATTCGAGCATTCGATTCAGGCGCTGCAAGCCACGAAGCGAGAGCAGCTGCCAAAGCAATGGAAAAGTTGAGGTTATGAAATAGCTCGACTGATAAGGAGAGGGGGGCATAGAATGAAACCTTCTAGAATTGATTCTGTCTCCCCTGATCTAAAGGTCAGATACAAAAGGGGACCCTATCCCACTATGAACGAAAAGATGCACAAGCTCTATCCATTATCCAATCACTTGACTTGAACCTAAAGTCTTGCCCGATAATGTCTTAAACAAAACAATCTGTATAGTTAGAATTCATGTCCGAATCCGGTAAAAGGACAAGAAAAGGACGGAACTGATAGTCTAAAGGCCGAGTCTCAGTCTATTAGTTAGATACGCACGCTCTTTCTTGTTTTTGTTCCAAAAAGTGAATCAAAAAGTAGATTCAATAGTAGCGCGAGATGAGTGACTAATTGGGAAGCACGGAACTTGAAGTCCGAAAGAGCTGGGCTTTCACCGACTCGGGGATGGGGCTTTCCTCAGTCTCAGGCAGAGCCGCTAGAAAAGGACTTTCTATGTCTAGGTGGAGGCTCACTTCGTGAAGTGGTATGGTAGCTATTGAATCTGGTCCGGGGCTGCTAAACAAAAAAGCAAGAACCCCAAGCAAGCACGAAAGAGTCCCCGAGCGAGGAATGAAAGACCGAACCTGAAGATAGCACCTACTTCCTCATTGGCATAAGCAGAATCAGGCGATCCGACGATTTTGCTGTTCATAGATTCGTCTTCATCTAAGATCTTTGAATTGATTGGTTTTCTACTGCTTCACCTGCATACCTGATGAAGCAGGGGAGAAGAGATGAATTGAAAGACTATGTCCCAGCGCTAGAAGGACAATAGGGAAGGATGTGCCTTCAATCGTCAATCGACAGTAGTCTCCTTCATCAACGTCAACGGCATTTTAGGTAAACATAAGCAGCATCTTTGAGGCTTCATAGACGACATGTTCAGGTCTTCCTGCTCCGGCCGGTGGGTAGGGACTCACAAACAAGCCATTCAAGGTAGGTAGGTTTAGACCAAGCCAGAGCAAGCTTCAAGCTAAGCAAGGGTGGTGGGTCAGATACGGAGGCGGAGGGACAGAGAGAGTGCTTCCCGATCAAGCTCTCAGAGAGAGAGCTCTTGTACAAGGAAGCTACGTACACATTTTCAAACTGAAAGCGACCAAGAAAACTCCTGCGCTAACGCAGCCGTACTTTGGTGGGTCTCCGAGATCCTTGAGATGAAGAAGGGATATCTATCTAATCCGATCGATTGCGTAAAGCCCGCGTAGCAACGGAACCGGGGAAAGTATACAGAAAAGACAGTTCTTTTCTATTCTATTCTATTAGATATTAGATTAGTATTAGTTAGTGATCCCGACTTAGTGAGTCCTTTCTTCCGTGATGAACTGTTGGCACCAGTCCTACATTTTGTCTCTGTGGACCGAGGAGAAAGGGGCTCGGCGGGAAGAGAAGTGTACCATGAGAGAAGCAAGGAGGTCAACCTCTTTCAAATATACAACATGGATTCTGGCAATGCAATGTAGTTGGCCTCTCATGTCGATCCGAATGAATCATCCTTTCCACGGAGGTCAATCTTTGCCTGCTAGGCAAGAGGATAGCAAGTTACAAATTCTGTCTCGGCAGGACATGTATTTCTATTACTATTCAATTCATAAATGAAGTAGTGAATGGTGGGGTTACCATTATCCTTTTTGTAGTGCCGAATCTTGTAATACGCAAGCAAGAAAACGGATGCGCGTTAGCTAAACGAACAAGGAAGACGCGTAGCGTCACTTTACTCACGCACAACGGCTTCTTATTAACATATAGCGTCTGTAGCGTTAGAAGCCGTTGCTTGTTTTGTTGTTGTTAAGTAAATAAAGACAGAAAACAAATAGATTCTTATTAGTTTTTTCTTTGCTGTTATTATAGATAAGGGTATGCCTTTTTCTTCTTATGGCCATCAATTGGCTTAAGCCGCTCCCACAAAAAAATGTTTCCTTTATCTGGCCAATTTTGATAGGAAAAGATAAGTACATATGTGGAACCCTTTTCATGACATGACAGGTTTTTCGGAGGTTCAATAAACTTGTTCTATCCAAAAGCTGCTATAGAAGAGAAGAACAAGACATATGGAAAGCTATTTTAGTGGCTCGCGATCTACCAGTGTACTTGAGCAAAGACATTTATCTCGAGCAAGATTCTCAAACTCAGTGCGCCAGGCAATTTGGCCACATGCAATCCATTCCTTTTTCCTTTTCTATCAAACCCTCAACCAGCCATGGCACTCTAGATCACTTAAGGGGCTGGACCCACTTATTCGAGCACGCGATGTGTATTACAATGACCTTCAGTCGACTAAGAAGGTGCATCATATTCGCTGGAAGCCAGCCTCTCTTGCCTACCCCTAAGTCCTGTCTGCAGTAGCTGCTTCGCTTCTATTATAGATGACCGAAGAGCGGACTTCTTTCCAACAAACAGAGGAAGTTTCGATTCGAACAGAGAGATATGTCGGAATTAGCTCCTGGGAAAGATAGAAGGGCAGGGCTTCAGACCCATAATGAAACCAATGTGGGAGCTACTTATAATAAGTTCCAAAACCTTGAGATGAAGAAGGGAAAGCGTAAGTGAACTCGATCCAGTGGAGGAGGAAGCTCGGTTCAGTCCTTGCAGATCTTGACTCACTCACTTCCAGAGTAGAATACGAAACTCTAGTTGAAGGGGTATTGGCCATTATGAGTAGTAAAGGCTACTATGAGCAGAAAGGGACTACTTGGCTCGATCGAGCAGCACCTACACCTTCTCGCGTAACGACTTCTTTTAAGCTAGGCTAGGATCGGATCCAATTCTAGGAGCGATGTCAGACCAGTAGACCCAAGTTATGCCTTTGATCTAGGAGCTTCGGTTTGAACACATTGTTCTCTTGAAAGCTTATTAGGAAGCTAAGTATTTACCTTTTCTTTTCTCAATAGGAGGTCTTGTGCCGTTGGACCTGCCCTTTATGCAGCAGTAGTTTCGGTTGAACTGGACATTGCTCCCGCTATTGGTAGGCTTACTCGACTAAGAATTCAAGGAAGTGAACTGACGGGACTCTGCTACTTACGAGGGTTGATGTGGAAGAAGGGGCGAAGAATCCTCTGCTGATGAAAGATATGCTGAGACAAAAGCAAAATAGGAAGAAATACCTGCTAGACCAGAGACTGCGGATGGGGGTCTTTTTCGCGTAAAAACCTGCCAGCCGGTAATATAGTATTTCCAAGCTAGGGGTATTGTTGTTTATGCACAAGGTTTTTCTCCTCAACCAAAGCATGGGTCAAAAAGGAAGAACATGACCATCAGCAAGAAAGGGCGTCCCGACGTCGACTCCGAAAGGAAGCTCGCGAGAGGGAAAGAGAGGAAAAGAACCAATGATTCACCTATATGAAGCTGAAGGAATGAAAGCATTAGAGTGAAGATCCCCTGCTTAACCTGAAATGAAACCTCTCAAGCCAGGGAAAGATTGACCATCGGGTTTATTCCCGAGTCAGGACAGAAAGAGTGACTACTCGATAGAAATGCCCCTATGAATAAGGGAAGTTACTAGCCTTCTTTCTTAGGCCAAGGAAGGAAAGCACAGTAGAACTAGCGTAGCGGGACATGACAGCGGTTGGGGAGAGGGAAAAGCTATCAATCCAATGAACAGAAAAAGCGGCTTGGCCGAAGGGTCAGGAAGAGAGAACGACTATACTTTCTGAGTTAGAACATTAGGAACCTTACACCCATAGGAAAGAAAGCAGCCAAAAAAGTAGAGAAGATCAGAGACGGGTTTAGCGAGAAAAGTCTTTAGCTCACACCTATCTTTGATGAAAGAAGCCAAAAAGCAAGAAATTGAAAGTGTGATTAAAGCCAGAGAGATGACTTCTGTTGAACTCTTCCTGTACATGAAGGGAATGAATCGCATATGTTGGTTGAGAATTGCTCGGAATTCATTGATAATGACTTTGCCAGGTTCTAGGGAGGCTACTCTTATTTTTTGTCGATCGAGCCGCTCTCCCTCATTCCACTCGTCCAGCCCTCTTCACGAACTTGTACAATCGATGCCACAAAGATAGCAAACTCTATTATCAAAGAAATAAGGAAACGGGCGACAATTTGGCACCAGATATCCGGAGGTGTGGAAAGAGCAGCTGTGAGAAGCGGAAAAACCATCAAAAAACGACGATTGTTCGTGGAGGTTTCTACAGAAAGACCCCTTGGTTCTGACAAACGGATCACAATTACAGGTACCTGGGAGCATACCGATGGAATGAACGAAATACGAACAGTTAACATAATATGGTCATAGATCTTAGGTTGTAGCTTGATCATGAGCGAATTTGTTGATGTTGCACCCATGAAGTATGGAAAGTGCCAAACATTGGGAACTACCCGGGGAGGAGTTAGGAACAGGAACAAGAAGAAGCGAGAACCACTTAAATGGAGGAATCGATTGTATTTCGTCCTTTGTTCCCCATAGAAACTGGGGATCAAAAAGCACCAAATTTGATGACTTATTAAGGGAAAGACGAAGTAAGAGCATGCTATTGGAGACGTTGCAACATATGTCGGGAAGGCCTCCGTTGATTGTGTACGAACAAAATACGAATCCAAAGGCAGGGTAAGAAGGGGTTTAGCTAATGGAGATATTAACTCTTCCGGGAACCAGTAACACGTAAACCATGTAAAACCAAGACCAATCAATATCCGAACGGAACGGATTCGAACTTCTCCTAGAATAGTTTCCGATGCGAAATTAAATTCATAGGATATATATGAGTAATTCAAAGGATAAATCTAAATATTTGATAGGATTCGATTCATTTTAGTAATGAACAAAAAAGAATTTTATGGGGCTTCCCTGTCGAGAATAAAAAGTTTTTCTCTTAGAGAGGCGGTTTCCTCGCTTAGAAAAGCGTTCCTTCTCTCAAGAGATTCCCATTGAGTGGATAACTCTCGGCGATGTTGCATATCCAATCGGGCTTGGTGCTTTTGTTTTAAAAAGCCCTGGAAATGCTCTGCCTGGGTCGTTTTTACTTCCCAATAGAATGGGGATTCTTGCCCTCGTTACATAAGCTTTGCAAGACCTGGCATAGAGCGGGGTGATTGAATTCTAAGGGTTCGAGGTGTACCCTCAGTATGGAATCCAGGTCTTGTGGATCAATGAAGAATTGGGGATCCTCCCGACCATAAAAAATGAGTTGATAGAGAGAGGAAATCTGGTCACGAGTTGTAAAACAAAACTCAGTTTCCAGGAAATTTCGCACCATGACCTCGTACTCCCTGGGTGAGAGTCCCTGGGTTTGTAGGCGCTGTCGTACGAATTCCACCCATTCTGGATCCTGATCCGGCTGATTCATATAGTGGTCTAGCAGCGCTAGTTCAGACGGGAGAATACCCAATATGGAATTAGGTAAACCCCCATAAAAGAAGTTATAATAGATTCTACACACAAAACGGATCAAGAAATAAAGACACACTAACCTTCTCATAAGAGAAAGAGCCCGCTGTAACTTGGGCCTTGTTAGATAGTAGCAAAAGACTCTCACTTCGAAATCCGAAGGGAGATAGAACCTAACAAGGATATAGAAAGTAAAGAGGAAAAGGCATGACCAGAAGAATTGTGTAAAATAAGTGAATTTATCCAGTTGAGGCATGATATGCTTGACAACAAATGATTCCCTCCAGACAGAAAGAGAGTCCTTACTGTACGAGTAGTTCAGAATTCTAGTGAGTTTTTGTTGGTTGTTGACCAACGGAAATCATGGGAGAAAGAAGACTAGATCCGGGGGTCATTCACCACCCCACCTACGCACAAACGGACTACTTACTGCACCCAGAACCTCATAACAGCATAGAAAGCATCACCGTGAATTCCATATTGGATAAAATTGCTATGTATATCAATCAGAAATGGAAGTTGTCTTAGTCATCCTTTTTTAAATCATGAGTATCCTATATCGAGAAAATATTCATTTTGAAAACATCTCTATAATGAACATAGTGATAGAAAGAGTACCATGCAGTGTCTTGACTTCAAACGGTTTGCTTTAACCATGTTAATAGTCCCACATTATTGGTTGAGAGAGAATCGAAGTAGATTTACCAATAAATCACGAAATGCTATGGTTCTTACAGAGAATTGATTAATTGATTCATAAGTAATTCGCGAGATCATGCACCCCTCTCTCCTAGTTCTAAGGAAAACTGAAAACTAAAGGATACAGCTGGTTGGTCCAGCCTATTCTTGAAAGAAACAACTCGCACATACTCCCTTTCCAAAAAAGATCAATACACCAAGCACTACACTTAGATTTATTGGATTTGTTGCAAAAATATCGGTATTAAACCCGAAACTCCCAGCAGACGGCCAGTGGCCCAAAGAAAGGAAAGAATCGGTTACGTTTTTCATATGCTCTCCTCTTATAGATCAACTAAAAAACCGAACAGAGTGACTTTTGTATCACTTCACCTCGCTTTTTATTTACTCTCTTTTTTTTTTAAGAGTTTCTTCTTTGTTGTTGTTAGGTGTTGGAATTATCTTTTGCATATTATTTTCCAGCGGTTCTATTTTCACACCGCGAATCCAACTATATGAGAATTTGATCGGAACTCCAAGTTTTTTATTGTACTCCAAGACGTCGTTTACCGTCTTTTTGTACTCTTGGAACAATTTTAGAATATAGATAAATAGGCCTAGTGCGACTACATAAAAAAGGAGGATCGGCTCATTATTCAATTGTTGGAATAGCTTTTCTACCAGTTGAGACATGATATGATTGACAATGAAACTAACCGCTGCCACATTGGGGCTATGGGATTCGAACCCAATTTTGCCACGACCCCCATTTCTCTCTCGCCCAGTCGTCTATCGCGAATTAGCCTTTCGATTAGACAACAAAGAAAGGTCGACCTTTCTTGACTAAGCTTAGATTTTCCCCGCAAAATCACGTTCGACTTGCATTAAGCATACGGCTTGTGACACACATTTCTCGATCGGCTGGGTTCCCGCCTTGCTGTACCGAGGGAAGCCCTTCAACCACCTCATCTCTATTATTTATTATATGATGATTGGTTGATTGTGATTGAAGATTTCTTTCTACAAAAAGTCTTCGAGATAAATTGGACCTCCGCCCGAAGAGCGCTTCCCTGGCTTAAAGGACGGAACTCCAGCGCACTGATTGAGCTAGCGAACTCCAATTTAAGTAAGACCAGGCCAGCTGTAAACAAAGGAAACAAAAGATTCGTGGTTGATACCAGTTGACAGCAATTGGCCAGTTTCCTACAGTTGACCGATAGAGCTCGACCGATTGATCCATAAGAATAAGAGCGGTAAGTTTTTATATTGACAAGGGGGGAAGCGGTATCGAACAAGAAGAGCTGGAAGGGAAGTCGGACGGTAGGACTGTATTGCTCAAGAGCAGGATCTTTCTTTACAGGAAAGAAGACGGGGATAAGCGCCCTATCCACCAACCAGTAACTGCAAAGAAATAGAAATAGCGAGATGATCCATCATAACGAGAATTTCCATTTGCATTACCAGAAGAAAGAAAGATGCGCTAAATAGATTTTGGGGATATAGACTAGGAAACTACTATTGGCTAATGGAATCTATTAGTCTAGCTCTTATATATATTATGATTATGAAAGAAAGCAGCATAGCCAATTCTTTTTTAGCTAATGAGAAAAAGATATGAACACTAATAAAACCAGGAAAGACCAATCACAAATACCAGTGAAAGCGGAAAAGAGATGGCCTGGGGAATGGAATACGGGAGGCGAGAAGTCATTTTTCGAAAGGTTTTCTTGTTCGAGCGGCTCAATTGACTATTCAGATTGACAGTGAATCGTCGACGATGGCATAGATTCGATTCGGACAAGACGATAACTATCCTATATAAGAGAAGGCAATCTAGGCAAGCAAAGGAAAGATTGATTATAGGCCAGTGAAAGAGAAAGAGAAGGATCTTCGGCAAGGGGTTCCCGGCTTCGCGAGACCTTTTCGATCTGCTCTAGGCTAAGCTCAATGGGGCCTTGCTTTGTTGATGCCAATCTCTTAGTCTGATTCAGATAAACTGTGAACCAAGACATGAAAAAGAACGAACTCAAAGCGAATTCTTTCATATGAGATCTTCTACCGGTACACGGAACACAAACAAAATCTCAATGAAATGAAGTACACGCAACTACGCCTGTGAACTCAGATAGCCTTTCAGCATTCCTTTCATCTACTCTAGGAAAAAGAACTTTCTTCTCTTAATATATTCAATTTCTAGTTAGAGGTCAAACAGCCCAAGACGCGCATCCACCAGATAAGCATATAGTTCGTTGTGATTCTCAAGTTCAAGTCCTTGTTTTTTATCCTACCCCCCTTTCTCTCCCTTTGGCTTCGGGCTTCTGTTCATGCTCATCCTCAGCCTCCGGTAGGCTGATGGGCATTGAACCTGACTCTGTAGACCTTTCAGCACAGTCTTCTACGACCTCTCCTATAGAAAGCTTTTTAACATGACTTTCCGGCTTTCCTGCTTCTGTGCTTGCTATTAAGAATATGGCATACCAACGATTCACTTACTTACGGGCTTACTGGAATGATGAAAGGGAAAGGTATTCGGAGTTCTTCACCCCGGCAAAGCAAAGTCCTTACTTTGACTTAGACTGACCCGAATCAAGTCAAGGCGATGCAGCAGGCTCAAGGCCCATCTTCTTAGTTTAGTTCTCTCTTTTCAAGTCAAGAATGTGCCAACCGAGGCCATTGAATTCGCTGCAGTGCAGATATCATCATAGTTGAAGAATAAGTTCTTCTTTTTACTGAATCAGCTACTAATCACATGTTTGGAATCGATCTAGCTGATTATCCGGTCGTTTAGTAAGCCCGAAAGCAAGAGAAAGAAGGTTTCCTTTACCACGGGAACTGCAGTAGCGGAACTAGCACGACGAACAATGCTCGACACTCTGTCAAGCGAGCCCCTCTAATTATCTGGAAGCCCCTTTCCCCTGTATAAGCATTCTAGCTCAATACCCTTTCACCGTCTTCTCACGCGCCCTTACAAAACAACTACTGCGAGAGCCTTTCAGCCAGAGAGAAAGAGCCTTTAGAATGGAAGCCCTTATCATCCACTTTCTTATTCAATATTGAATCTCTTGCTTAAGCTGTGTAAGCTCATTCAGTGGTTCACTTGTGACGGATTCTTAGTTGATAAGGGGATGTCTTCTTTTCACTCAGGTTTTACCAAACAAAATGAGGTCATCGGCAAAGAAGCAATGAGACAGTCGTTGGCCTCCTCGCCCGACTTGACCTCTATGGCTGTTCTGTGTAATGGCTTGATTCTTGATTCATTCCAGAACAAGAATTTCACTCATTTGAATGAAAGAGTTTGATACCAATTCTAGCTTCCGGGCAGGAGGGAAGAAGGTGACTTCAAGGCTGTTAGTGCTAAAAAGTTTCTTTCTTATTCTCAGGAGCTCACCTCTCCCCATGTCTCAGAGGAATCTACTCTTTCATGGCAGCCACCTTCCCCTGGAGTATACAAACTGAATTTTGAAAAAGTTTGGAAAGAAAAGTAGACGGAACGACACCTGTGAACTCGGATAGCATTGTGGCATACCTTTTCATCTGAACTAGGCTACTTTCTTTCTTCTCTTATGAAATTTTTAGTTTCAGATCATTCTTAAAAGAAGCTCTCTCTTATATACGATACCACCAGATGTGCCCCCTCCACCCTCGTCCAATCTTCCTAAGTGCCAGCCTAGCTTCATAGGAAGCTTAACAATACGTCCAGCTCCTTAAGGAATGAATACTTGGGCTTGGCCTGGAGTTAGGCTGAGATGCCTGGGCTAGACCCTGAAATCGCCGTCCACAGGCTTAATATCAAACCAGATGCTAAGCCCATCAAGCAAGCACAACGACGCTTTCATCCACTCCTCATGAAGAAGATTGAGAAAAAAGTAAAATGAAGTATGAAGGTAAACGGAAGACCATAGATGATGGAATGATGAATGAATGGAAAAACGAAATAAAAAGACTAAAAGAAGAATTCGCTCAACATGAAGAATTAGCTCAACAAACCAAAGAAGAATCCATATCACAGAATCACCCTTGGAAGGGTGAGAAACCACCACCTAATAAAGACTGAATAAAAAGAGAAAAGGGATCCCGATAACCAACCATAGGAAGAGTTCATTCATATTGGAAGTCCGGTGCGGGCGTTAAGACTTACTTTACTAACGTTCGGTACCCATATAAAGAGGGGTACCTACACTCTCAGTCAGTACTAGAAGGAGGTACCTTCTTCCGAGGAAACAAGGTCTTATTCATATCCTAAGTACCCGAGCGAGGGTCGGATAGCACGAGGTAAGTAGTTATGTTGCTAATCCTAAATAAAAATCGAAGACCAAGAGGTTCACTTACAACCAATTGGTCACTTCACTGCTTTCAGTAGCTTAAGGAGTTGTAAAAGGGTAGTCCTTGTTGTTATCATTCGTAACGGGAGATACTTAGTCCCGAATAGGCTAAACAATAAAGTAGATGTCCAATTTTTGATGGTCACCTGCTAATGGGCTACCATCAATTTTAGCAGGTATCGCAAGAATCTAGCGGGAGGTACGGGAGAGAATCTAAGAATAGGCTAATTAGAATACTAGAACAAGACCAACGGGAGCAGCTCCTACAACAACTTATTACAATAGAAAGTCAAACAACGGCTATAACTCTAACTCTAGCTGTAGCATCGATGAACTATGAGGTTTGAGCTGTTGTGTTTGTTGATTTATCTGAGCTCTTGGATCCTACGGTATGGATTGTTTTCCAACAATCTAAGTGGCTTTCGTAGAATTCAAAAAAATTGATTAGGTTAGTTTCTCATTTGATTTTGCCAAGTTCTTGTAGCGCATTCACTAAGTTACTTACGGAATATCCAATCTGGAGGCTGACTACGGCCTCAGATGATTAGGCGGGGACAGGATTCGAACCTGCAGTCTTCAGGTCATGAGCCTGATGAGTTACCAACGGCGGGGTCAGGATGCTCTTGGATCCTACGGTATGGATTGTTTTCCAACAATCTAAGTGACTAAGTGTTCACACGTGGCATTTTTGATGGACTCATCAGCAGGGTAGTCCTTGTTGTACGGGTACGTTATTCGCTAACTCACCTGCTAAAATTGATGGTAACCTGCTATCCGGTAAAATTGCATATGTTTGGAGAGTTCAGTGGCCTAATTGCACATTTTTTGAGTGTTCAATGGCCTAATTGCACTTTTTTTTTTCGTTCAGTGGCCTAATTGCATTTTCAGGTTACGTTCAGTTGCCAATTTGAACCTTATTCCAACATTTTATTCTTTATTAATATTACATTTTATAATATAAGTATTATATTTGATCTTAACCTGACCCGTCTCATGGACAAGGATTCATGAGACGGTCTTACACAAGTTTTTGCTTATTGTCTAATGGTATGTTAAAATATAATAATGAAACATAATAATTTTTTAAAATAAATTTTATTGTTTTAAAATTGGCCCATGAAACCTACCAACTCACACGAGGTGGGTTGCAACAGTTTTACCATGAACTCAAGTTTAAAATACATAATTTATATACCGAATATTCATAATTTGAATATTCAATAAGCAAATTATGTATTTTTAAATTTAAGTTTATCTTGTAAGGTAGATTCGGGACTATCGAATAATTTGCCGGTGGGTTGGGGCTATAAAATTTCAACACGGAACGTTTATTTATTTCTAAAGAAAAGATGAGGTCGAAATGAGAGCGTAAGTCAAAAAGTTGCGGCGGGAATGGAAAATATAGATGGTCGTCCGAACATCTTGTTTCTAGTGAACGGTGAACCTTATCTTTTTTTTTTTTTTTTGAAAGGAGTGTACCTTATCTTTAGTGTTCTATGGAGTCAAAATGGGACTAGAAGTCAATTTGTTACTCAGTATTACTTTTCCTCTTCCACTTGAGTAATATAATACTTAGCAGCAACTAATATTTGTTTTAGGGACCGTTTAGGTGGCGGAAAATGTTTTATGAAAAATGGAATTGAAATTTAATAGAAAAATAATTATTAGATGAATTTTATTATTTGGTTGGTGGGAAAAAAATTATTGAAAATTCTAATTTTATTGTTTGGTTAGATTTAAAATTGTAAAGAATAATATATATAAAAACCTATATATCTTACAAATTATTAAGAGTAATATAATTTAGAAAAAAAATAAAGATAAAATAATCAAATCATTATCATTTTTCTTCCCTGCTTCCATGCATGAAAAACAAAGTCTCATATCGTACCAAAGATTTTGTTTTCCTCGAATTTGAAGAATTCATTTACTAATACCAAACACCAAAAAATAACATTTTTCTCAACTTTAAGAAAAATATTTTCATGAAAAAACTTTTTTATCCAACCAAACATCCCCTTCATGTTTACCGTCCCATGGTTAATATATATATATATATATATATATATATATATATATATATATATATATATATATATAAACAAGTCAAAATGAAGAGATTGATACACAACATAATATAGGAATCAAGAATTTTTTGAAAAAGAAAGCATAAACCATTACATTGATCGATGAAGTGTAGTACATAATTACTATAAGCATTTATTTAAGGAAAAAAAAAGATTTTATTTATAATTGGCAAAACCTTAATAAATAACTAAATAAACTAAATATGCAAACGGTAGGTTGGAATAGCCATCAAGTGCTCGGCTCGGTTCAAACTAAGGCCAAATTCTTCAGTCATGTTCAAGTCTTTGGGTAACATCCCATTTGGAAGATTCCAATCAAAGCAATGGAGTAGTTGTGCTACCACTAGTCGAACCACAGTTATTCCAAGTTGCATTCCGGGACAACTTCTCCTGCCTGATCCGAACGGTAGAAATTCAAAATCCTGACCTCTGTATTCAACACTACTTTTATTAAACCTTTCTGGAAAGAATTTCTCAGGGTCACTCCACACCTTTGGATCACGTCCAATTGCCCAAACATTAACAGTAACAGTTGAGCCTTTAGGAATGTGAAAGCCATCAACTTCACAATCTTCTCTCGCTGCATGAGGAATGAGTAATGGCACGACCGGATGCATCCTTAAAGATTCCTTAATGACTATTTCCAAGTATTTGAAGTGCTCCAAATCACTCTCCTCAACCATCCTATCAAGCCCTACATGACTCTCTATTTCTTCTTTTACCTTTTTCATTATCTCCGGCTGTCGGAAGAGTTCAGATATTGTCCATTCTATTACAGATGATGACGTGTCTATAGAAGCAATAAGAATGTCCTACACAAACCAAGATTTGATGAGAAAATTAAAGAACAACTTAACATTGTGTGTGGAAATTAATTAATATGCAACATATATAATTTATAGAATTGTATAGTTACCAGCATAACAGATTTAACATGTTGGCGAGTAAACTGAACTGGAGATTCTCCGGACTTCATAATCTCCAACATGGTATCCACAAAATCCATTGTAGTCTGAGCCTTTCCTTTGCTGGTAGCTTCTTCATGGTCGTTAATGATCTTCTCCAAGAATTCATCGAAGAGTTTACCGACAGCCTTCATCCGTCGAGTCAATCCTTGAACATCAAGTTTACCAAGAAGAGGAAAATAGTCGCCGAGATTAGGGAGAGCTGTGATCTTAACTGCTTCATGAATGGCAGCCTTGAATCCCTTCTCACCAAGCTCTTTATCATCGTACTTCTTCCCAAACACCATCCTACAGCTCATGTTTGCACTCAGGGAAGAAACTTTGGCGCTCAAATCAACAGCTTCGCCGTTCTGGGCTGCTTGCTTGAATGATTCTACGAGAAGACACAGCTCTTCTCTTCTCATGGATTGGTATGAATTGATCTTGAGGTTGCTTAGGAACTCCAAGGTGCATAGCTTCCGAACGTTTCGCCAATACGGACCATATTGCCCGAAAGACAAACCTTTTTGGCCATTTGAGATGTACTTAGCAGCCTGGGTAAGTGGTCTGGTGGCGAAATTGAGATCGTGCGTCTTGAGAAATTGCTTGGCGGCTTCCGGCGTTGATGCCACGATATTGTTGACCATCCCAAACCGCAAGTGCATGATAGGGCCGTAGGTTTTGGCCAGTTTCTGCAAATCTTGATTGGGATTCTTCCCAACCAAATGGAAGTGTCCCAAAATTGGCAGCCCTCTGGGACCTGGGGGCAGCCTCTTGCCTTTCTTCTTCAGAAATAATGCTCTGAAAACAGAAACTGCAGCCATCACTGCAAACGCCGTCCATATCCATGCGGTGACGGTGTTCATCATGGACTGAGGCGGTGATGATGATCACTGATGAAGTTTTTTTTTTTTTTCTTTTTTTTTAAATTTATGGAAGTAAACTCGCTCTGCTAGATAAGAGTTTATTGATGAGTTCAGAGTGTCATCTCCGATATTTATACTGCATTTCTTCTTCGTTTTCTCCCCGACTTCACTATTGGCGGCTAATAATATAATATATTCACATTCAATAAATCCGGTCTTGTGACCTATCTCTTGGTGGAGTCAAATTTATAAATTTGTGGTTTTCTATAATTAATTGTTTGACTAATTTGACTAGAGTTGTTCATTGTTTAATATACTCTCTGATTTGTCTCATTTTACTTGTCTTGTTTATTATTTATTAGTTAAATTTATATACAAATATTAAATTTAATATTATGAAAAAATTAATATTATGAAAAATTGTATTAAATAACTTTGCAAACTAATTTGTTAATTAAATCGGACACATAAAATGAGACAGAAAATAAAACTCAAATTCTAAACTTCTCACATAGAAAAGCAATCGGATACCATTGAACCAAAAAATCATTGGTCGGTCGTTGTATGTTATTGACGTTATTAAGACAATGACAATACTGTAGCTGTATGTTATTGAATATTTCAACTATAAGACATATGCATGTGCGCTGATACTTCCACTCAAGCAACTAGGGGTGGGAATGGCAAATTATATCGTGCACCGCGGTGCATAATTGATTATGCACCGCGCATTAAAATGATGTTGTTTTATTTAATAAAATTAAACGGTATCTGTTTCCCGTTGTTTTGCACCCTTCCGCAAAAAAGTAACTCTATTATTCATTTTCATTTTGTATACACTGTAGTTTCGGTTCAACACAACTACAGTTTCATTTCGATATAACTACAGTTTCATTCGATATTTATAGACTCAAATATGTAAAAATGTTATTTAATTTTATTTTATATACACTATAATTTTATTAAAACACAACTACATGATCATTTTAATATAATTACAGTTTCATTGTACAATATACACTCAAATATGTGAAATGTTATTCACTTTCATTTTATATACATTGCAGTTTCATTTCACCACAAGTACAGTATCATTTTGATATAACTGTTGTTTCATTTGATAATATAAAAATAATACGTTAGATATTGTCGGTTTAGATATACTGTAGTGTCAGTTGGTAATTAACATATACAAAATGCACACTCCGTTAAAACTAACGGCGCGCCGTTTCTTTACTTAAATAAACGGCACCGTTTTAACCCCGGTGCACATGCACCGCGGTCCACGATAAAACGACTGGGTGGGAATAGGCCAGGCCCCTAAGGCCCGGCCTATTTAAGTCCTACATAGGCCAGGCTTGTTTAGTAAAAAGGCCAGGCTTGAGCCTATTTTGAAGCCTATTAAATTAAACAGGCCAGACCTATTTATTATACCAAGCTCGGCTTTCAGGCCTACAGGCCTAGCCTATTTACACACATATATATAATTTGTTTGTAATATTAAGTTAGTATATATTCTATTTTATACCTAATATATTTTTATATTTACAATATAATTCCAAGTATATATAATTATCAAACCCTAACCCTCCACCTCCGAAATCGCATTCTAAATTCTGATTCAACTATAAACATTGTTGCTAATCCTATTATAGGTGTTCTTATTATTTAATTGTTCTTACTGTTAAACATTTAATTGCATCCCTATGGATATTGAAAATGTTGAGCCAAAAAACTTGTCATTGGCGGGAACTGGTGCAGCCCAGTCCCGCCCAACCCAATGAGTTCGATTAGCTGGAACTGTCGTGGACTTGGCGACCCATGCACGGTTCAAGAGATTGTGGCCTTAGAAGCTAAGGTCAAGCCAATGTTTATTTTTTTAATGGAAACAAAGGTACGACGCGATCATGCTGAACGTCTAAGGATTAAATTAAATTTTGATGGACTATTTTACGTTGATGGTGGTGGTCTAAGCGGAGGGTTGGCTTTATTGTGGCGGGATAGAGGCGTAGCAAGTCTCATAAGCTATTCGAAAAATCACATTGATATTCAGGTGCGGTTGCCTGGCAGCAACCCCTGGAGATTAACGTGTTTTTATGGGTACTCTGATAGGTCTCGAAGGCAAGATTCTTGGGATCTTTTGCGCTCTCTTCTCCCTAAGTCTAATCTACCTTGGTTAGTTGCAGGGGACTTTAATGACATTGCTTCATCAACTGAAAAACGTGGTCTGAATCCACATCCACAGTCCTTAATTGATGGATTTAATCATGCACTCGACGACTGTGGACTTATTGACTTAGGCATGCAGGGACGAAAATTCACGTGGGAAAAAAGTAAAGGCACGGACCATTGGATTGAGGAGCGACTAGATCGTGCGGTGGCTAATCTTGATTGGTGCAATATGTTTATGCATGCCACTGTTTATAATAAGGAGGTAATAACCTCGGATCACTGGGCCCTCTATATTCAGTTGGATGCTCCGAGAATTGTTAGGCAGCGCCGGAAATTTATGTTCGAGAACGCTTGGCTTAAGGAGGAGGGGTGCAAAAATTTAGTTTTGGGATCATGGAATGCCTTAGCTGGGGAGGTTGTCCCTACACGACTGGAAAGATGTAGCGCTGCTCTTAAATCTTGGGGTGGTAGCTACGCTAAAAAGACTGAAAAACAGATTGCCACTCTTCAAGCCCGTCTAAGCATGTTGAGGGATAGACGAGATGATGGCTCTCTATTGGAATTTCTAGAAATCGACTGCCGTATTCGTCAACTCCATAACCAGCTGAACATCTTTTGGAAGCAGCGTGCCAAGCAATTTTGGTTGGACAAAGGTGATAGAAACACAAAGTTCTATCACCTTTATGCGTCGAACAGAAAGCAGAAGAATATAATAAACAAACTACAGGATCCTGATGGTCATTGGGTGGAGGGGCCTAATTTACTGTTACTTGCCAAAAATTACTTCACCAACGTCTTTACAGAGAAAGGAGTGCAATTATCTGATGCATTGCATGGTTATGTGCCGAAAATCACTGCTGCTGACAACGCCAACTTGTTACGTCCCTTCTGTTACGAAGATGTGAAGGATGCGCTGTTTAGTATGTCACCTGATAAATCTCCGGGTCCTGACGGTTATAGTCCGGCTTTCTTCCAACACTTTTGGCCGGAAATTGGTGTAGATGTGGCACGTTTTATCATTGACTGTGTTCAAGGCCGGGAATTTCCCGAGGGGATGAACGACGCAATTATCACCCTAATACCTAAAAAATCAGCACCGGTTTCAATGGGGGATCTACGCCCGATAGCGTTATGCAATGTCATATATAAGATACTCTCGAAGATTCTAGCCAATAGATTGAAGGAGGTCCTTGACAAAGTAATATCCCATTCGCAGAGTGCATTTCTATCCGGGCGTCTTATCACGGATAATGTACTTATTGCGTCGGAGATCATTCATTACCTGAACCGGAAGCGAGAAGGGAGGGATGGATGGTGCGCACTCAAGTTAGATATTGCGAAAGCATATGACAAGATGGAGTGGCCGTTCTTAAAAGAAATTATGTTACGTATGGGCTTTGGGATTCAATGGATTGAACTTCTGTTAAGATGTGTTACAACGGTCAGGTATAAAGTTGCTGTAAATGGGGAGTTGTCTGACTCCATCATCCCCTCTTGTGGACTGAGACAAGGAGATCCATTGTCTCCGTACTTATTCATTTTGTGCGCAGAAGAACTGTCCTACTTGTTAGCGGATTTGGTGAGGCAAAGGCTAATAACCCCTTGTGTGGTGGCTAGAGGAGCGCCTGGCGTCTCGCATTTGTTTTTTGCGGACGACAGCTTGCTTTTCTTTAAAGCCACAATTAGTGAAGCAAATGCAGTAAAGGCTTGTTTGAGTACTTATGAGGAGATTTCTGGACAAAGAGTAAATTATAACAAATCATGTTCTATTTTTAGTAGAAATACCACTGCAACAGTGAAAAGTGGAGTTGCAGCCATTTTTCAAGTCCAGCAAACTGATAACATTGGAAGATATCTTGGTCTTCCTATGGGGATTGGTCGAAACAAAAAAGAAGTTTTTTCTTTTATTCAGGCTAAGATGGCAACCCGTTTAGGTGGATGGAACAAGAAGATTCTTTCCCCGGCAGGGAAAGAGATTCTCTTAAAGAGTGTGGTTCAAGCACTACCTACATATACGATGAGCATCTATCTTCTACCCGTCTCTTTTTGTGATATGCTGGAGCGCTCTATGAACAAATTTTGGTGGGAAAACGGAGGAAGAAGGGGTGGTGGCATAAGGTGGATTTCTTGGGGTCGCATGTGCGACCCTAAAATAAATGGAGGAATGGGATTCAAGAAGCTTCATAAATTTAATATAGCATTATTGGCTAAACAAGGATGACGTCTCCTAACAAATACCCAGTCCTTGGTTTCACGAATATATAAAGCTAGATACTACCCACATTCTGATTTTATGGAGGCTAACATTGGAGCCAATCCTAGCTATTGTTGGCGTTCTATTTTAGCAGGCCAAGAGGTATTGAAAAGAGTATGTTATCGAAGAATTGGTAATGGGATATCAACCACTGTTTGGAATCAACCTTGGCTGCCTTGCACTACTGACCCATTTATACACACACCTGCTACTATTGACCATCCAGCTATGAAGGTGAGTGATCTGATTGATCCAAACTTAAATGACTGGAATTCGGACCTTCTGTCTACAATATTTGAGCCAAGGGATGTTGATCTTATCATGAAAATACCAGTTGCAATTACCTTTGAAGATCAATGGTGCTGGCGTGGGGACATACGAGGTATGTACTCAGTGAAACAAGGCTATCGTTTACTGATGGAGGAGAACGTTACGGGGACAACGTCGACAGCATGGAAGGTAATATGGGAACTGAAAATCCCGCCTAATGTGAAGAATTTTTTATGGAGGTGTTTGCATGGAGTTCTACCCACTTTGACTGTGTTGGCGAGTCGTCATGTTGAGGTGGATACCATTTGCCCCCTTTGTCACCTTTATGATGAATCTTTGAGGCATCTAATGTGTGATTGTACCCAGGTTGCTGCTCTTTGGCAATCACTTCCAAATTGTTTGATGCCTATAGGTGATGAGAATTTTGGAGATTGGCTAGCAGGAAGATTAATGGGAGATGAAACTGTTATGATCCAATGTGCTGCTAGGCTTTGGTGTATTTGGTGTGAACGAAACTGTGTGGTTTGGTCTCAAAAGAATTGGAATGCAGCAGCTGCTAGTATGGAAGCTCTTAGAATACTCGAAAGTTGGCAGCCCCTTGCTGGGAACCACCTATCTGCTTCAGCTCTAAATTCGGCCGCACGAACTCATGCAGTAGTCCCAGATGATGCTTTCACTTTGTTGGTTGACGCGGCTGTATTCCCGAACGACGGCCTAGCAAGCTATGGAGTTGTCCTAAAGGACAGTGATGGCAATTATGTAGCGGCGAAGAATGGTCCAATACGGTGTGTACAGGATGCCCACCTGGCAGAGGCTATCGCGATTAAGGAGGCTCTTTCGTGGGCTTATGAACGACGGCTTTCGAATGTGGTGGTTCTATCTGATTGCCAAACCGTCTGCAAGTTCTTTAATGGTTCTCTTTTGGATTTTTCCAGTGCGGGTTGCGTTATCCAGCAATGCCGCGACCTTAAACGACACTTTACATTTGTGTCTATTCAGTTTGTTCATAGATCAGAGAATCAGTTAGCTCATGCTATGGCTAGAGCTGCTCATTCTGCTACTGGTCCTTCTATATGGTCTCATTCTGTTCCTGCTTGTATTGAACCTTTGCTTTAATTAAAATTTTACTTATTCCTTTCAAAAAAACATTTAATGAAAGGTCACAACTTAATTATGTTGATAGAAACGGTATTGACTCTTTGTGTTTCAATAATTAAGTTGAGAAAGTAGTTTATGAACAGATATTACAGTGTAACATAGTCAGTA